AGTGTTTTTTTTTTTTTTTTTTTTTTTTAATAATATATTTGGTTATTATCGTTTGGAGGAAGAAGGGGAACAACAACCTTAACCGTGGGTTGTGTTTTCATGGATCGTCAGTGGACTTTCGAGCCTTTTGACAAATGGGCTTAAGTATTCATCCGGCCCAGATAGGTGATCCAGGGTTGAAAGAATTGAAATTGGAATATCCATTATGCAGTACAACAAAAGAAAAAAAAAAACTCACCTTTCAATTTATTTATTTATTTATTCTTTTTTCTTTAAAGCGCACAAACGATTGTTTTAGTGAGTTTCTTGTAGAAGCTTGAGTTTCACAGTGAAAAACACTAATTTTTTTTTTTGGTGAGAAAACAGGGCTTAAATGCCCAAACTAAAAATTACGGTAAAAAGATACGGCTGCAGTGTCAGTTAACAAAGAAAAAACAATCCCGTGAAGGAAATTATTAAAGATCTGAAATTTATCTTGAATATCAAAACTGAGGTTTGTCATTGCATCAACCACTTGGTTAGCTTCTTGGTAGATATGCGAACAATTCAGATCTTGTTCCATATCAGCCAACTCTACAATAGAATTGATCAAGGGTGCACAACTATGAGAAGCATTACAGTCTTCATTGAGAAATTTAATAGCAAGGCTAGAGTCTGATTCTACAATGATATCCTCTTTAAAACCTTTATCCTTAATGATCCGAAGTCCGTGAAAAATCGTCCATAACTCTGCTTGGAGAATAGAACACTGACCAAGCTTACAGGGAAATCCCGTTATAAAACCTCCCAAATAGTCCTTAATAATACCTCCACAACCCGCCTTTCTTCCAACACCATGCACTGCTCTGTCACAATTGAGTTTGATGGAACCTAAGGGAGGAGGTTGCCATCTAATAAGAGATGATCCATAGGGATCACCTAGAATTTTTGAAGAAAAAGTAGAACACTCCTTATAGGCTCTATTAATTTCCAAACATCTGCGCTTGATAGACACTACCAAGCCACAGGGATTCACGTGATGCTGATCAAAGATGAGCGCATTCCTAGCTTTCCATAACTCGTCAATTGTAACAGCAAAAATGAGTCTCCAATTTTCATTTCTACGTGTAAGGTTGCTAACAATCCAAGTTCCCAGGTTACTATTAATGAAATTAGGAGGTATTCCACCATTAGCTAAATGTGACCACACATTTTTGACAACAACACAGTCTCTTAAAGCATGGAGACCGGTTTCAGGTTCCTGGTGGCATCTGGGGCAAAGGTTTTCCAAAGCTAGGCCTCTTCTCTCTCGAGCAATATTAGTCAACAAGCTATTATGAGCCGTTTTCCAAAACCTCAATTTTATGCGTTCAGGTCCCTTCCACCTCCAGATAGTTGAGAAAACAGCTTGGTTACATTCAATCTGGTTATGATCAAGACAAACATACGCAGACTTGACAGAGAATTCTCCATTAGCAGAAACAAGCCAAGCTAGACTATCTTTCTTGGGGTCACGAATTGGTGTAACATGGCTACGTAAATGGTCCAAAATATTAGCTGGTAGAAGATTATGCAGATTATCCCAATTCCAGGTGTCCTCTTTTGTGACATAATCAGCTACCGACTTACTAATCTCATTCCCTAGAAGATTATGAGGTACATGAGTACTGAGCTGAGGGAAACCATCCAACCACGAGTCTTCCCAAAAGCGAATAGATGTACCATCACCAAGACGCCATATGATATTAGGAAAGAAGTCAGGCCAAGCTTTACACATCCCTGCCCAAAATTTTGATTTGCTTTTGGGTAGAGACATAACTAGGATATTATCTTCCCCACATTTGTATTTTGCTCTAATAACTTGAACTCATAGGGATTCCTTTTGAGTGCACAAGTTCCATAAACCTTTCACTAAAAAACCTATATTTAACTGACTAGCTGACTTCATACCCAAGCCACCTTGATTTTTGGGTTGACAAATAGTATTCCACGAAATAGTGAAAAAACACTAATTAATACTGTTACACTCATTTATATGTTAATTATAGTAAAAAATAAAAAATAAAACTACTTTTAAATACATTAAGCGATAAATATATTTTATATTTTTTAATTTATTATGAATTTATTAATTAGTTACCTACTTACTTTTATAAAAATGTATGTATTTATTAAACAATTAGCACTTTATATCATGTTTGTAGTTGATAAGATTATTATTTCTATCAAACAGTATCTACTTGGAGATCATTATTATACAAGTCATTCTAACTTATTGACTTATGGTGTGTTTGATTACTCATTCACACACATTCTTATACACTTAAATGGAAGTAAATATACACTTATAAGTTATCACTTCAAACAATGCTAACCTTCAAAAATTGTCTTTAGATATTTGCTCCTCCATGTGAATTTTAAGTTGTTACCACAAACATCAACATTTACACTTTTACATTCTTATGGTGTGTTTGGACCTCAATATTGTACACTTTTACATTTGTTATGTGATATTTTATTTATTTTATTTATTTATAAAAATTACAATAACAATATTAAAATTTAAAATTTAATATATTATAAATATTATTTTAACCTTCTATCACTAAGTTTATATGACTATCTAAATCATCCTATTGACTCTTTTTGTAATTTTTTATATATATATGAGGAGTCTCTTATTCACATGAACATACATAACTTTTAAATCCATTCATTCACTTTATTATGAAATGTTAACTTTTGACATTGGAGTTCATGAAAATATTGTTATTGGAGATAACTAACATACACATAATAGTTATTGTCTTTTCAATATGCTTAAGAGATTAATTATCTATAAAATTATGACTAAATGTTAGTAAAACATATTAGTATATTAAATTAAATATATAATATTTAATACATTATTTTTTTTTATAGATTTTTTAATTTTCATACTTTGACACTATTTTTTTTATCCTTTTTTTGTGTAAACTTAACTTTATTTATTTTGACCCATAAACTTTGTTAGTCAAAATGGTCACTTTTAGTTAGGTAGTTTTTTTTCTCAATGTTTTCAAAATTTGTTGGTCACTAATTTAGTAAACACATTAGGTTAAAGTTCAACGGTTAAATCGAGATCGATCTATAATTTAACAAATATTAATTAAATAATAATATTAAATAACACTAAAATATTATTAAACTAATAAATACAATATCATAAATTTTTAATTCTAAAAGTTAAAATAAAATATCATTTTATATGTTCTTAATATCTAAAGCACTTAAAAATTCAAATCAAATATATCATTATATTTAAGTTTAAATTAAAAAAAAAAAGAATGAAGTCCATTAATAACAAGGGTATATATAAAATAAAAAAAATAGATAAATTATATTTCATAAAATAATTAAATAATAATTGATGAAATAATTTGTTATTATTTTTAAATTTCTAAATATGTTTTTATTATTTTAAATTAATTTAGAATTTTTAAAAAGTTAAAAAGTATTTTTGAACGGAGTACTAGTTCAACTGGTTTTCTTACATCGGTTTGCCGAATTCTAAAACACTTTGTTATTTTTAGTGAATAAATTGGTCACCGTTGAGTTTTTAAAATTATCATTCTTTCGCTACTTGACCATTATTATACCGTACGGGTCCGAGGCCGACCCAGCCGAATCAATGGTTTGAACCGGCCCGACCGAATCGACCGAGCACACCGCTCCCTCACAAAACAGTAGGGATCGGCCTACTCGGCTCATTCACGGAACTCCTCTAATACGATTACGACAGTTTAATTTAAGTAATGAACTGGATTAACCCCTAATTTTTTGGGACCCAGTTCCTAATCACGGCCCAATAAAGGAACATTATAAATAGACTCCCTTCGAGGTACGTAACTAACTTTTCAACTACCGCATTTAATACGCCGAACATTTACTTGAGCGTTGGAGTGTCTTTGCAGACACCCCCCTCATTTCAGACTATTCGGAGAAAGACGAGAAGACCTAGACCCCGGACCCAACCCGCTACAACAAGAATAATTGAAGTGTATATCCTAACACAGCAACAATTATAAATTGTTTTTTCTAAATGACTTTAGTATATAGAGTCTATAAACAAGTGCATTGGTGCAATCTTCTTAAGATTTTCAATAATACAATTTCTTTCTGTTTTTTACCTTCTCTTTCTCTCTAGATATCAAATATGATATCAAAGCTTGAAAAAACCATTCTATAAGTTTTATCTGTCTTGACGTTGATAAAGTCTAACTCACTTAAACTGTTTTATTTTAAGAAAAAAAAAAGTAATGAATAAAATAAATGCTAGAAGCAAAAGTATTATTATTTGGCTTGACAGTGGCTGTTACGAATGGGAACAGCCTCAATAAAACCGAAACGAACAATATTTGTCCCTTCATATTTTTCAACTGCCCCCACACAACACCATTCATCCGCAGCCAAAGTCGTGAACGACCATATTCTATTAAGACTCGAGAGTATTAATATTAACTTATTATTCCATAATAAAAACGTCACATCATAACATAACACAACATTATGTTTAAACAACAATTGCATTCATTAATACACTTTGCTTAGCAACCATTTTCCACGCTCTTTCCTCTCGCGTCCTTTACATGGGTACTTGGTCCCACTCCATTCCATATCTTACTTGCAATAAAAAATGCTATATATATATATATATATATATATATAATCTGTCCTGTGGATACCCTTCCGAACTCGCTTCGATCAGGATGGAAAAAATTTGTGTTTCTTAAATTTAAATTTTCTTTGATTAATAAAATCGAGGACGGAGACATGAACGAGAATATTAATACTTTCCCATCTCTAAGTAATGAACTGGATTAACCCCTAATTTTTTGGGACCCAGTTCCTAATCACGGCCCAATAAAGGAACATTATAAATAGACTCCCTTCGAGGTACGTAACTAACTTTTCAACTACCGCATTTAATACGCCGAACATTTACTTGAGCGTTGGAGTGTCTTTGCAGACACCCCCCTCATTTCAGACTATTCGGAGAAAGACGAGAAGACCTAGACCCCGGACCCAACCCGCTACAACAAGAATAATTGAAGTGTATATCCTAACACAGCAACAATTATAAATTGTTTTTTCTAAATGACTTTAGTATATAGAGTCTATAAACAAGTGCATTGGTGCAATCTTCTTAAGATTTTCAATAATACAATTTCTTTCTGTTTTTTACCTTCTCTTTCTCTCTAGATATCAAATATGATATCAAAGCTTGAAAAAACCATTCTATAAGTTTTATCTGTCTTGACGTTGATAAAGTCTAACTCACTTAAACTGTTTTATTTTAAGAAAAAAAAAAGTAATGAATAAAATAAATGCTAGAAGCAAAAGTATTATTATTTGGCTTGACAGTGGCTGTTACGAATGGGAACAGCCTCAATAAAACCGAAACGAACAATATTTGTCCCTTCATATTTTTCAACTGCCCCCACACAACACCATTCATCCGCAGCCAAAGTCGTGAACGACCATATTCTATTAAGACTCGAGAGTATTAATATTAACTTATTATTCCATAATAAAAACGTCACATCATAACATAACACAACATTATGTTTAAACAACAATTGCATTCATTAATACACTTTGCTTAGCAACCATTTTCCACGCTCTTTCCTCTCGCGTCCTTTACATGGGTACTTGGTCCCACTCCATTCCATATCTTACTTGCAATAAAAAATGCTATATATATATATATATATATATATATAATCTGTCCTGTGGATACCCTTCCGAACTCGCTTCGATCAGGATGGAAAAAATTTGTGTTTCTTAAATTTAAATTTTCTTTGATTAATAAAATCGAGGACGGAGACATGAACGAGAATATTAATACTTTCCCATCTCTGTTCTGCTTAATAATATAATTAAAAAATTATTTATATATATATAAAATAAAATTAAAAATATTTATATATAAAAATTTATATTATTTTACTTTTCTTTTATTTTTTTAATTTTATTCATATTTATTTTAAAAAAAAATAAAAACAAGGATAGAAAAGGCGAGAAAACCTAAACTCTATCATAAACAAGAATAAATACCCAAATTTTACTTTTAACAAATATAAAAAATAAGGACAGTGACAGTTTAAATTTGCGGGACAGGAACAGGAATTTAAATAAACACTTATATCGCATGTCATTTATGTTTTTTCTAAATAAATGTAATTTTAAATGTGGGAGGGTGTGCGTGTCATGCACGCTCCATGTTCACGAAGCGCCAAAAAGGAGAATCAGCACAAACGCGAAGGAAAACCAAAGAGGGTAAAAGTGGAAACCAAATATTTCAGTGGACACACGAGAAGAACAAAAGAGAACGTTGAACGCACTCTCAACCGTCGTCTTAGTTCATTGTGAAATCGATTACAGTAACACAATGAGCGAGCGAGTTCCTTCGTCGCGGACGATTCGACTCGGCCGAGTCCAGCCTCAAGCTCCTGGTCACCGCACCATCTTCTGCAACGATCGCCAAGCCAATCTTCCCGTTCGCTTCAAGGTTCGCTTTCGAGTTTCGACTCATGCTGTTTCCAGATTCTCCGATTCCGTTATCGTTGCTCCACCGTACCGTTTTGAGCTCTAGATATTTTATCCGCTGTTTCTTTTTTATTTTTTTTATTCTGTTTTGGATTTTAGTTTTAGGAACTCGAGTAACTTCGTTTTCACTCTTCAGTAGTTCGCGCTTCGTTGGAAATCGTGAAGCAATACGAATACTCTTTATTATAGATTCTTTACTTGTTGACGGAAGTATAATTACTAGAGATTCTTTACTTCGATTTCACTTTTCAGCAGTTCGCGCTTAAGGATACGTTTAATTTGAAATTGTGCGATCTCGTTGAGTGTGGAAACTAGAGCTACTTGAGTTTAAGATTCTAGCCGTGGAGCTATGTTATTAATGCTAATGAAAGGCCATTATGTATGTGAATTAGACAAGTTCATTTTGCACTGTTAAATCAACTTTTAGTATTTTTTTATAGTATATTTTCATATATAGTAATTTTGTTGACTTTTATTACATCTCATACTACCTAGCACGATTTATAGAAACTGAACACATTGTTTTTTTTTAGTTTTCATATTTTGCTGTTTCACTGAACTTGTCATTTGAAGGGATATAATTATAAACTAACACAGTGCATAGGAATTGCCTAAGGCATACTGTTTCGTTTAAATAAAGAGACGGAGATGGATATGGACGGATTCACTTTTGTTGTTACATTGCAAGTTGCAACAAGATGGAAAGGAAAAAAACCTACGATTGCTTGATTATGTCTTCCTTCTTTTCCTTTATGAGGTTGGAATTGGAGCCATAATTAAATAATGAATTAAAAATAAAATGTATGGAATTATTCAAAAGGTGGGCAGAGCTAGAATAAACATGTGAACACTGTATAACAAACAAGGTGTTTATTGTGGAGTGTGCATTCATATGTTTTATTGGAAATTTTAAACTCAGATTAATAGTAGCAAATTGGTACGTGAGATGTTAGGATCTTGTGAAAGAATAAAATGTGTACCCAATTGCTGATTAAATTCTCATTTTCCAAGAGAGTGTAATAAGATTTCTACCTTTTTGAACCTTTCATGCTATCTTGGATCAAAGAACATCATTAAAGTATTGTCGGAATCTGTTTTGATGGGTTAGACATTTGTAAAATAAAAAAAAAGTTCAGTTATAAATGGCCTTCTTATACTCGACTTTAACCAGGTGCCAGTTGAGCTGCAGTCAAGTGATTGTCATGTAGTCTTGTTTGCTGTTGACTAGTTATATCAAGTCAATTTTTTCTTTTATGTTTTTAATATAGTATGCACACCTTTGAATAACTTAATTAATATTCTGTTCTCAACTTCAAGGAATTGGATATTTCTGCTTCATATGTAATATTATATTGTATATTTCACATACCTTGATTTGAAAATTTTAGCAAGTTAATATTCATTATATCAGGGGAATTCAATATCGACTACAAAGTACAACTTCTTCACTTTTCTGCCAAAAGGATTGTTTGAACAGGTGAGTTACTTGTAAACTTTTTTATTCTTGAGAGTACGTGAGATGCATTTGATTTCCATTTTATCAAAACAATACAAGCTTTGTATGCAATTATAATATATGAATGTTGCACTGTTCGGAAGCTATATTCCTCACCAGATTTTCAAAGTACAAAATGTCTACTCTTGCAAATGGCACACCTTTTTTCTTTATGATGATTTCATATATTTTAGCCCTTTTGACAATTTTCATTATTATTATTTTAAAATTTTTAAACACATTAAATAGTTTGGTTGGTTCTAAGTAGATGTGTGCCTTAAGGATACCAACTTAGTGAAAGAGTATCATTTTTTGGGTTAAGTGATTGTTTTTGGCCTGTGGAAAATGCTGACTATATATGTTTTACCATCCCTTTATATAATTCGTTGCTCTTAAATTAGCATTCTTCCTTCAGTATTTGTTGCAAATTGCAAAATGATGTTGTAGTCAAGTAGAAATTTTAATTTATTTATGCACAAAGAAAATGGCTTCTGTGTCTTGTTTTGATATATGTTAAGTTCTGGCAATATGTACCGAAGTTAATTTATCACTTCTTTTTGTCTTAAAAATAAATTTATTGCTTATTGAAGGTTAATCATATCTGTATATGATGAGCCATGGAGCTTAGTCTGTTACCAACTTACCAATGCCTTTACTTAACTGAAGAAAAAAATTCTTGTTTATGCTACAGTTCAGGCGGGTTGCTAATCTCTACTTTCTTGCAATCTCAATTTTGTCAACCACACCAATCAGGTATGTACTGGTTAAGCTCGTAGCTGAAAGATTGTTGTGCTACTCACAAGCTTAGTTGTGAGAAAAGAGCACACTGACTGGAGGGTAACGGAAACACTTTAGACATTTTCCCCTTAAACTTGGGCTTTCTTGATCCCAGTACAGCTGGCATCAATGGCTTTATCATATACATACTTCATATTTGATTTGGTCTTTTTTTCTATTTTCTTTTTCAGTTTTATTACTACATGGCTGCTCAGTATTCTAGTTGGCAAATTATTAATTCAGCTACAGTTCTACAAAGCAAAATGATCTTTATGAAGCCTTCTTTCACGTCAAGTTGAACTTAACGACTTTTTTGCATTTTATTTATTCTGACTGTATCTTGCACATTGAGTTTATAATTATCTGTCCTTTATATCATTCATTTTGTTACTGCATTTTTTGTTATCTTGGACTTGCTTTATGCTTTGCAATTGTCTACTTGTTTTGATTTAATTGTTGTGAAGGTGTCAATGTGTACTTGATCTGCTTGTGCTGTTCATATGTATTTTTTCAGTAAATTTGTAATTTGTAACTTTACATGAGTCAGAATAAGTCTAATTATTGTATAAAAGTTGAATAAACCTAATTAGTAATTACATATTTTCTGATGTTGTAGCCCCCTCTCTCCAATAACTAATGTGATTCCTCTGTCTCTGGTGCTTCTCCTCTCTCTCATAAAGGAAGCTTTTGAGGACTGGGTGAGAATGCTATTTACTCTCCTTATACATTTACTCTCCAGTCTTCTGGGGCAAGGGGATTGAGCTGTCATCATCTTGTTTTTTTTTTCTCTTGAAATTCAAATTATGGATCTTATATTTTGATACATGATCATGCAAAAAAAGCATTTTAATATGCAGTTTAGTTGGAAGTTTGTCAAAGATTAAAGGTTATCCTTAACAGATGTAGAGAGATTGGACAGCTTTGCTGATTTTTTTATATTTATATTTCTTTGTTGTTTTATTTTCTCTTTTTCTTCACATAGTATCCCTGACATTCCATGTTGTTCCAGCTCTTAATGATTTTATTTTTTTTATGCATAAAAAATAATGTGGTTATGAACTCATTTCTTGAATATATATGAAGGCATCCTTAATTGTATATTGTTCACCTTGTTATATTTGTTTATGGCAGTTGTACTGTGCCTATTCTTATTATTTATTTATTGCTTAAATTGTGTAAAACAGAAGCGTTTTCAAAATGACATGTCTGTAAACAATAATACAATACATGTTTTGCAAGATCAAAAGTGGGTGTCTATACCCTGGAAAAAGTTGCAAGTTGGTGATGTTGTCAAGGTGAGTATGTTATATTTCAATATTTAATTTTGACAAATTTACATTTCGACCTGGTGCTTACATGGGTCTCTTTATGATGGAAATAGGTTGTATGATTTCAAATTTTATGTTGATTATCATGTATTTAGGCTGCAATCTTCCTTCACAGTCACATGTTCAAAATAATGCTATTTGTCCTTCTACATTTAATAAAGTTCTCATTACCTTAATACATTTAGGAGTAATTCCTTTGTATCATCTTTAACCTGTTGGTAGATAACAATGGTTTTTCCAGTTTTGTGTGATTAAATATGAATAAGAATGGTGTCCTATGTCTCATCTATCCTTTCTGTTCTTGCTTGAATGTGATTGCAGCAGTATCGATAGAGTCCATAGAGCAATGTGGTTGGAAATCTTGCTCATATACACTTATGCAATATTTTATTTGTATATCAAAGTGACTGTTTCTGAGTGAATAGAAGTTATTTTTTATGAAACATTTTTCCTTCTGAGCTGAAACATTCTTTCAGACTTATCTTTTTTATCGCTCTTAAGAAAACCAACTGGGGAAATCAACTTATTCTTCTCATGTTAAACAATTATTTTTTGCGAATCTGAGTTTTTAATTGTACTTGTTAGTTTGGTATGGTTTGTAGATGTGTGTAATCTGGGGACCTCTGAAATTTGTTTTCTTGAACTGCTTGTGATGGTTTCATTGTGGCTGTTTCAATTCATGATGCAGATACTTGCTGTAAGTGCAACTTTGTTCTTTGTTGCAGGTTGAGCAAGATGGATTCTTCCCTGCAGATCTGCTTTTCCTGGCTAGTACGAATGTAGATGGTGTCTGCTACATTGAGGTTCATTCATTCATTTCAATTTGAAAAAATGAGTGGTCTTGACATTCTTTAGCAGTTACTGCGGTTTATTAATTCAGATTTTTGGGTGGTAGACTGCTAATTTGGATGGTGAAACCAATTTGAAGATTAGGAAAGCATTGGAGAAGACTTGGGATTACCTGACTCCAGAGAAGGCATCTGAATTTAAAGGTTTAATTTTTTTTATTGATTGACCTATGATTCTTGAGTGCCATCAACCTTCTTTATATGTGTTGTGATCCTACAATTTACATTTAATTTGTTATTCAAGTTATAAGCAAATTCTCAACTCAGTTTTTTCCATGAAGCATTGGCTTTAAATATTATACTTAATAATACAAAACTGAGTAATATTGTAAATTACTGATTGATTGAGGGATGAGGTACATTTTTGCATAGACACAAGAAACAATGAAAAACAGAAAGAAATCACCTAAATCTAGGAGAGATGATACAAATTTCCAAAAATGCTGCAATCTTTCCTATAATATGGTTTTCACCTGAGTACAAAAAGAATCAATAACATGAATTACATAATGTATCAACTATAGTCAGCACATAATCAACACAGTTCCTCAAGCTTGTAATATAGATTGTGTGCATCCAGTTTGTCACACATGTATGAGATCCTAGGGCCTCATAGGGGCTTAGTGATGTTTTCCAATTAATAGATTGAGAATTTGAGAGAAAAGTTAAAGAGAAATTCTGAATTTTATTAAAAAAATGTATTGGTACAGAGCTCTGTTACAAGAGATGTATTTATACACAAGTTAACCTAACTACCTAACAGAACAAAAATTAACTAGCTAGCTTACATAGCAAGCTAGAGATTACAATAGTTGAGTCTAGGCTAGCTGTTGACCGCTGTCTCTTGACAGCTGAGGTGATGATGGAATAATACACTCATACACCCACTCACAAGCTCAGGGGTACAGGCAGCAGCAGTGGGGTCGAACACACTGAGCTTGGATGAAGATACGGAAACCAAGTAGGAAGGCTTGGTAAGATTTAAAGAGAGTCTGCCCATTGGTCTTGAGCATGAATGTGCAACACCAGTAACTGCTTGGCAAACACTTTTTCACAAACAAAATACAGATCAATCTCCATGTTCTTGGTGAGAGCATGAAAACTGGATTATGAGCCAGAGATACAGCACTTTGGTTATCACAAAAAACCATAGGAAGAGTGAGAAACACCTAATTCGTTCAACAGAGTTTGGACCCAAATGGATCTGCAGTGGCTTGTCACTTAAGAAAGACTGCAGTATTCAGCATTAGGGCTGGAGCAAGCAACAACTTTCTGCTTGCGAGATCACCAAGATATTAAATTTGGACCAAAATAAATAGCACCCCGCCTGCCCTCAAAGTGGAGCGACGATTATCAGGGTCAGCTGCTCAGTCAACATCACAAAAGGCCTCGAGGGTCAAGGGCTGATGCAAAGAGGCTAGAAGAAATTGCAAGCCACATTGTAAGGATTCTTTCAAATAGCAAAGGATATGCTTGACTACATTCATGTTAAAAATACTAGAGGGGTCGAGACACTTCGTACTTCTAACAATTATACATACAGGATATTAGATGATTGTGAGTGATTATTTAAAGAGGATGAGAAATTATCTTTTTTTAACACCCGAAGGATAAAATGGTCCGCTAAAAAGTGGAGACAAAAAATGGTTACATACCACGGTATCCGCTTTATAATAGGTGTAAATAAATTAACATTTATAAATAGAAACCATTGGTATATTAGTATTATTTAAAAATATTAACATTTATGTTTAACATATTATCATACAGTCAATTGTAGTTATGATGATTGTTGATTGTTAGCTAGTGATTGATATTTACATTAGCTACTGATTTGCTCCTAATTAGCTCCTTGATTGATCACCATCATCATCATACTATAAAAGGATCAGTGTTTAGCAAAGGGACTCAAGTTTCACTCGAATATTCTATTTCAGCCTGTTATCATAGCATACCATCATCAGGGAGCTAATCCTGTCACTATTCTGTTGCTAAGTTCCTAGTGTTCTAGAAATTTTCTCCCATGTTGTCTTCCCTGCCCATTAGCTGAGCATCCGTTCTGCCAAAATCCTAGTTTTTCTCCTTCTATTTATATATTGTCTTGTTTATTAATATTATTCTGGTTATCTTTTCCTACATTTTTAGAAACTCCTGAATTGTTATTGTCTGTGGAACTTCATATGGCTTTTAAAAATGGCCACCCTTTTATTTTCTTTAGCAAGATTATTTCGAAGTCTGTTGGTAACGATCATTATTTGATTGAGGGCTGTCAATTCTCAAGAATTTTTGCAATGATTTTTGGATACTCGCTTGCCCCACACCTAAATTATGAATGACCTGTAGTTTTTTTTAACTACTTGCAGGTGAAATTCAGTGCGAACAACCAAACAATTCATTGTATACCTTCACTGGAAATCTTTCAATTCAAAACCAAATACTTCCTGTCAGTCCAAACCAACTTCTGTTGCGAGTATGTTACGTTTTTCTCACTCATTGTTTGTTATGAGCTCTCTGTGATCTTCCATAAATAGTCATAGTTGTTACAATTGGTAGGATTTATGACTTTCATTTTCTTTGTTGCATTTCATTTTAACCATCATTTATTGCTTTTTTCATTGGCCAATATAGTTTTTCTACTCCTTGTTATGAAACCAAAGTCGTGTTGACATGTTGAAGTTTCATGCTATTTCAGGGATGCAGTCTCAGGAATACAGAGTATGTTGTTGGGGTTGTTATTTTTACAGGACATGAAACAAAGGTTTGTATAATGAAATGATGCTTAATTACATTGATACCTCTATCATTATTGTAGCCCCTCCTCTAGAATTTAGACAAAAGATAGTAAAAATATCGAACATGTAATTGCAGTGATGTATTGAAGCCTGAAATGTGTAACTTAGGACCATTTGCTATTGTTGTTCACTTGTATGGTGTTATCATAATTGTAATTAGCATTTCATGTTTCTAAATATGGTATAATACCGAATGTTTATGTTGTAACATGTGTAGTATTTTTTTTTGTATAGATTTAATTAGATTTATTTCTTCCTTATGATCAAAGCTGTATAAATAGCGATCCTTACAGAACTCTTGAAATCATCAATAAACCAAAAAAATAACTTTTCCTATTATTCAAAGTCCATGTTGGTCAGAGCTCCTATTCTTGGGGGGTTTTACTTTCATGCTCAAACCCTTGCTGCCTACATTGCTACATTTAACCCCTAGTTGCCTTCATTGTGGTCAACTTTGGAAGCCTTCATTGCTGCCATTGGAGCCCTATTTGATGCCTTAAATTATGCTACAAGTCACTGCTGTCTCTTGTGGCCTCTCGGACCAGTGACATCCTCATGCATTGGCAGCATTGCCACTGCCACCATTGTATTCATTGGCACCAATGTTATAAAAATCAAACTGGTCTAGATAGCAGTTTGATGGTTTAATGGTTAAACTAGATGCTCACTTATTAGATTGGTCTATATTAAAAAATAAAATAATAATATAATTAACATAATTTAAGATATTCCATAGGGGTGTTCATGGATCGGTTTTTTCAAAAAACCGATCCAAACCGAACCGAACCGTTTTATAAAAGTGGATCGGTTAACCGATCCATTTTATAAAGTGGATCGGTTTGGTTTTCTTAAAATATGGATCGGTTTTTTTTAAATTGGATCGGTTCGGTGCGGTGCAGTTATCCACTTTTTACTCATATATGGATCGGTTTTTTTAAAAAACCAAACCGAACCGAACCGATCCACTTTGTAAAAATGGATCGGATAACTGAACCGGTTTTATAAAGTGGTTCGGTTCGGATTTTTTTTCAAAATGGATCGGATTTTTCAATATGGATCGGATCGGTTATGGATCGGTTCGGATCAATTTGGATTTTTTGCACACCCCTAATATTCCATACATTAAGAATAAAATTATTGGCATACTAACTTCAAATTTAAAATCATAAGGCATAATAACACAATTTCATACTTCAAATTTAAAAACATTGTCTTTATAAAGTACTCAATATTCAAAGTAAGAATTAAATTAAAATGCATAATGATAAAGTTCATAAATATGAAGCTCATAATGACAAAATTCATAAACAATTAATTAAATTCAAGTCAATGACACAACTCTATAAATAAGTCCAAAAATTAAAATATAAATAGCATCAACATTCAAAATTTATGTCCAAGTTATCAACATTTCAAAATGCAACTTTTAAAAAAGTCTGAACACTTCTTAAAAAATTTTCTGAAAAGAAAAGGTTTTTTTTAAAAAAATTTGGAAACTGGACTGGTTTACAAGTTTTTCGTGGAAACCAGCTGGTTTGATCTGGTTCAACTGCATAACCGGTCTAATGAACAAACCATTCCAGTTTTTGGCACCGGTTCCCGGTCCAATCCAGTTTTTATAAGCACTAGTTGGCACATCCTCTTCATGTTGTAGGGTGTTGTTCCTTTTCATGACCATGAAAGCTGTTTCCTTTTCTAAAACATAATTGTTCATCTTGTAGGTGTTGTTATTGGGGAGGAAAAGAGTCCCAAGGTTAATTCTTAGCCTAATCTTGCACCCTTTGAATGCTAATGACCTTCTGCTCTGTATCTTGGATTTATTGAATTAGCCATTTGACAATTGTTCTAAGGCCACAACTAGGAAAAATCCTAGTTTCTTATCTTTTATTGTCTTTGGTACTCTGCGAGGATCTTTGGATTATTGATTCTGGTGCTACTGATCAGATGAAGTGTTGCAACATGTGTAAAATATGATTCATGTGCAATATTTATTTATTTTTGTACTAATTTAATTATATTTATTCCTTCATTGGGATTGCTTGGTTGAAGTTTTCTTATTTGTAGTAATTATGTTTGATTTGATGTCCATAATGCTAGCATAGCTTTTATGATCAAAGCTGTATAAATAGTGAACCTTGTTGTACTCTTTGAATCATCAGGAAATGATATTCACTTTTCCTCATATTCCAAGTCAATATCATTTTGGCTGAAGGGTGTGTGTGAAAAGAAAACAACTTAAAATTCTCTTCCTTCATGGTTGTTTTGATGTATGTGCATCGATTTGCTGGTTTATGGCAATGGTACCCAAAAATTGTGACCACCACCTGTGGATTATGTTTTAGTGTTCTTGTCATTTGGTGGTGTTGAGTGACTGCTGTCCCATTTGTATGATCTTTCCTTCAGGAATTTTTTATAGTTGGTTGGCCATATCTGATTTAGGAAGTTTTAATTCTTTATTAGGAAGTTATTTTTGAATTAATTTTGGATTAGGCAGTTGTTTCTTATGGTCTGACAATTATAGTTATATATAGATTATGTGACAGACTTGTTGAAGGCAATTAAGGGTATCAGATTGTTGTTTTTAGTGTTACGAAGGAGAAAACCCCTTGTCAGGGGGAAACCCTGTGTTTGTTGATGTTTGTACTCAAATATGGCCTAAAAACGAGATTATTTCTATTGTTTATTCATAATCTAGTGTGTTTATTCAACAGTTACATCCGTTTTCCTTCTGTGATTGTTCACGGATACTGCTTTACAGACATTTGGAATATATTGCAGGTGATGATGAATGCTATGAATGTTCCTTCCAAAAGAAGTACACTGGAGAGGAAGCTTGACAAGCTCATACTTGCTCTATTTGTGACTCTCTTTATGATGTGTTTCATTGGAGCTGTTGGCAGGTGAGTGAGTAAAAACAATTAGTTTGCCTGGCATGGTTCCTTCTCTATTACTGAAGAATTTTGTGGTATCTTGTCTGAGCAAACTACTGGGAAGGGGATTGGGCTAGATTTATTTACAATCTGCATTATATTTTTTGTTGTTATTAATGTTCTTGGATTTGTGTATGTAACAGTGCTATCTTTGTAAACAAGAAGTATTTCTATTTACATCTTGAATCATCAGAGGAGGGCTCAGAACAGTTCAACCCAAGAAACAGATTTATTGTACTATATATTTCTCTATCAAGATGAATAGTCATTTCTTTTCTTTCTTTTCCTCTAGACTTGTTATTGTATATAATGTTTCTGCTTACCATGTTTTTTAGGTTTTCCTTCTCACTATGTTTACCCTAATCACTTTGTATTCCACAATCATCCCCATTTCACTTTATGTATCAGTAGAGGTTTGTGTCTCAGCCATTCATATACTCTAGAAATGCCATTGTCTTGATAAAGGGGAAATTTAATTTATGGTTTTTGTACCAGATGATTAAATTTATTCAGTCCACTCAGTTTATCAACAAGGACTTGCACATGTACCATTATGAGACTAATACCCCAGCGTTGGCCAGAACTTCAAATCTGAATGAAGAACTTGGGCAGGTAAGATGCTGCCAATTTTGTTTTCTAGACAGAGAAACAATTGAGACAGCTCAGTTGGTAGAGATGTGGGACATGCAATGCAAGGATTCTGTGGGGGTTCAAATCCCTGCAATGCACATTATACCTTTTTCCATTCCCTTCCCCTCCTGTGAGGCCTACTATGAGCATCCCTTAGGGAACCTTCTCATAAACCAATAGCAAATAGTTGTTTTATATAATAAACAGTCACATCTCTGCAAATTGAAGCACAACTTGCCCATAACTAGTTAACTTTCTCAAAGATTTATCTTTTTGAAATAACAAAGAAATGCCCCCTAAATATGCCTGATATTGATACCCTATTACCCTTTCAAAACCTACTTAACAAAACTACAAAAGCAATCTAAAATCTTGATTAGTGAGAAAATAAATATTTCACCCTGTTAGCCTTTATGCTCATGATTGCAGTAGCTTTTAAATAAAGAATCTTTTCCACTTTTTTCCTACTCTTCCTGTTTGGAATAGTTATGCTTTTGTCTTTCTGTTTTTTCCTCTCCTTTTCCTCCACTTTCCATTTCAATTTGCATATTTTTTAAATATAAATAAAGCTAATATTTAGTGCATGTTTGGTTGAACTTAATTTGGAGAAGTAATTGTCATTTATCTTGGCTTTTTTGAGAGATTTTGAAAAGAAAAAGAAGATTATTTTCCAGAATTAATCGTTTACCACCAAGTAAGTAGTGTTCTATTAAAGATTTTGCAAAAATAGTATATTTCTGGAACATGCTTTTGAAATCTCTATCAGTTTACAAGTGCCTGTGTGTATTATCTTTTGTCTCATTGCTGAGTAGCATTATGCAGTTTTACTCACTGATTTGAATAGGTGGAATACATCTTCTCAGACAAAACTGGCACTCTGACAAGAAACTTAATGGAGTTCTTTAAGTGTTCAATTGGAGGAGAAGTTTATGGAAAGGGATTGACTGAAATTGAGAAGGGAATAACAGAGCGTAGTGGCTTAAAGTTTGAGGTAATACAGATTTCATTGAATGGAAGTAGTGAGCACTGAGCAGGTGATTATTGAAAAAAATATTCCTTTCTCTTCAGGAAAATATATCACTCAATGCATTGCGAGAGAGGGGCTTTAATTTTGATGATGCTAGGCTTATGAGAGGAGCTTGGAGGAATGAGCCGAATCCTGATAGCTGCAAGGTATATAATTTTTCTTGAATAATTGGCAACAGTCTCTTTGGGATTTCAATCTAGCTTGTTTTTTATGTTTCATAAATTTGATTCTTACTGAGTAAAAAATATCTTTATCTTAGATATCTATCATCTATGTACTCGATGGTTTTTTGGCTATATCCTTTCTTTCCCCTTATTATGTCATAAAACGTGCTTGGTTCATATGTATGGTGCTTGGTTCGTATGTATCTTAAAACTAGCTAGATTCTAAACTCTCACTACGTGTTTGAGTTCAATGCAAGACTTGTATGATTGGTCTGCATGCTTAGAAATCTGCATGTTCTTAGAATTTTGTGTCTGGATGTAGGCATTTGAGATTTTAATAACTTCATATTATATTCTTGATGCCAGCATTTATGTGGTTCTGTTTCTTATTGGTGTGTAATGTCTTTGTGAATGTTTTCGTAAAGCACTGTATGTTCTCTCTGACTTTTCTACATGGAAATTTCTTTGGGTCTTCGCTAAGGGCATTGGTTGAACATTAAATACACTCTATTAAGTGCTCCCAATTACTTCAAAGAACAATTGTTAAATGATTTTTTTGTGTTTTCACTATAATAGTAAATGTTTTTGCTTTCATTAATTACTTTTTAGTTTTTACTTTTATTTTAGGTGCTGGTATTCTCCAATTTCTTATCATATGATTTACGCTGAAAAAAAAAAAAAACTCGTATGCTAGTTTATTATAGGATGCTAGATTGTTACTTGTACAGAAATTTTATGGGTGTCAATAATCAGGTATTCTATTCATTTGTAAAGTCTAATTACACTTTACAAGTTAACATAGCCTAGATCAGTTGGCCATCCAGAATTCTATAAATTATTTAGTTACTGGAAAAAGTTTATTCATGTTGTTTAACACGTGTTTCTCTTTTGCTAAAGCCTGCTTTTTTAGATGAGCACTTTAGCTGTTTTCTTCAATACTTATACTGTGAATTCAATAGATCCAATATTGGCACTTCAGACTAGGAACAGAAAAATATGAGAGAATATTTCTGAAATGTTTATGTAAGAAGCACTTAGGCAAAAGGATTTATACATACATGATTACAAATTTAATAAACACAGAATGCAATGTACAAGATACAAATAATTAAGATAATAATTCTAACTCTATTTCCCAAGTTACTATGTATCTAAGCTACTTGGTAGAGTGAAGCAATTATGATTATTTAGTTTCCCACTTTGTTCTATGATTTAGTTTATTATATAACAAAGTAAAGTTCGTTTAATTTTCTATATAGGAATTCTTCAGATGTCTTGCTATATGCCATACTGTGCTTCCTGAGGGCGAAGAGACCCCTGAGAAGATCAAATATCAAGCTGCATCACCTGATGAGGCTGCTTTGGTTATTGCTGCGAAGAACTTTGGTTTTTTCTTTTTCAGGTTTAGACTTCTTGATTATGTTCTAATTTTCTTCACAACTGTCGTGTCACTTTGTCTTACTGCTGCACACAATCATATCAGACTTTTATGGGTAATCCCATCTTCAATGCAACTAGTGATGTTTCATTTTTAGTTTCCACCTTTTAATTGATGGTGTAAGAGAAATGATATTAAATTTTCTTTCTCTAATTTGTCTTGACTGCTGTGCCATGAATAATTGGTTTGCATGCTTCCTGATTATCCCTTTGATATGTTACCACAAGTGTACGATATTGTTAAGTGTGGATAAATTAGGAATGCTTGGATTTAGAATCCATCTTCCCAGGTGCAGCTGTGCAGAAATGTCAGCAAGTTTAATTATTTTTACAATCAAATTATTCATCATTCAAGACTGATAGGGGACCCTTAGTTAAGAGGGTCTATGTTAGGAGACAAAGGGGGGACAGTTAGTTATTATATTAACTAACTGGTAGTTGTTCTGTTAGGGACAGTTACTTTGTATAAATAGGAGATAATTATAGAAATAGGGGTAGAAAAAGAAAGTGGAATAATCTTGGGAGAGATAGACACTCTCGGAATTGCCTTGTATCACTTTTTTTTGTTCTTCTAGCTAATGTTGACCAGCAAGGGCTCAATACTGAAATAATACATCATTCTTTCTTTTCTTTCTGAATCTTCTTCTATCACTAGTCAAATCTATCAAAGGCATTTGAATGAAATGAGCTGTGATACTCAGTTAAGTGATTGGTTTTCTTAATTAGAAATCAATTTCTTGTGCTACCAGTTTGTTAAAAGAGCTAATAGGTTGAGTTAATTGTAGTTTGAGTTGATCCTAATCAACATTATTCGTTGCCAGACGCACTCCTACAATGATATATATTCGTGAATCTCATGTTGAGAAGATGGGTAAAATTCAAGATGTATCATATGAGATTTTGAATGTGCTTGAGTTTAACAGGTAACCTTGTATCCCCCTTTCCGATACTTAGTTTCAAGGTCATGGACAACACTTGTAATATTTGTTCCTTAACAGTACAAGGAAGCGCCAGTCTGTTGTGTGTCGTTATCCAGATGGGAGGCTTGTATTGTACTGCAAGGTAATAATTTCACGAATCTACACAAAATTGATATCGCATCACTTTGACCAAGAAGATAATATTTTCCAAGGAACTTGCTTTTTGCAGGGTGCTGATAATGTAATATATGAGAGGTTAGCTGATGGCTATAATGATATAAAAAAAGTGACTAGGGAACACTTGGAGCAATTTGGGTCTGCTGGTCTCCGGACATTATGCCTGGCCTACAAAGAATTACATCCTGATGTTTATGAAAGCTGGAATGGGAAGTTCGTCCAAGCCAAATCTTCTCTACATGATCGTGAAAAAAAGTTAGATGAGGTACATTATATTCTATATTGGTATCTTTTAAGTGAATATTTACATAGCTAGTTTGCATTGCTTGTCCAATATTTTTCCTAATATAATTTGTTATATTGGGAGAGTTTTTTCTTTTTTCTCCCTCTATATTTCAATTTTTCATAAAAATAGAGAAATACATAGGAGAGAAAACATGGCAACAGGTTTGCCATTGAAGCTCCTTAATTTCAGAAACAGATCTAAATTAAGGAAACTAATCAAGCTATAAAAGATTTTAGGAAACAGCCTTTCTAATATTTTTGTTAAAAGTTGACCCAAGAAAATAAGTTAGTACTTATGAATCTGATCCTTACATTTTAGGGATTGATTCATAATCCAAAAGAAGGCAATTCGGAAAGGAAGCATCAGTGTTCAAATGCTTGTTGTGTCAGCTCAAGGTTATCAATAAGGTTATACGGCGGATGGCGGCAAGGACCTTTAAGTGCCATATTGCCATGGCGGTCTATGGCGGACATCATGGCAGACAAAAAAAAATAAAATATATATATATATATATATAATATGATGCAAAAGTAGAAAAATAACAAACACAGTCACATATTAAAACCAACCATATAACAATCTAAAATTCATGGCATTTATAATCTATTGATAGTCATCATAGAGAAACATAAACCCCTAACCAACAAAAATAGCCATCAAAACAAAGCAACAATGTTAAAAAATAGCAAAACACAATTGTCATTCCTAAAACTATTTTGTTTAATCCTAAAACAAAGCAACAATCCTCTGCCTCCCCTGACATTGTCGGATTGTCGGATGCGGTGGCAGTTGTGATGGCAAAACTCAAAGGAGGAGGAAGAAAATCTTGTCGGAGGTCACGGTGGGTGGCGTGCAGAGGTGACGGCGGAGGTGGTGGTGGCTCGCGGGGAGGCTAGGGTGGCGTGCGCGGAGGCAGCTGCGGTGGTGGCGGAGGTTATGGTGGCGCGACAGTGATGCAAGCGGAGGAGAAGAGACTTCTTAGTTCTTACGTGATGGTGGCGGCTGCGTCGGAGGCTGCGACGGTGGCAGCTGCGTCGGAGGCGACAGCGGCGGTTGAGTCGTCGGCGTCGATGGCGGTTGCGTCGTCGGCGATGGTGGCAGATGCGGCGTGGGAGTCGGAGCAGTTGCGGGGGGGGGGGGGTTTGCACAAAAGGGACTGTAAGTGATTTAGGGTTTCTAATGCCCTAAATCATCTGTTGGGTGCCCAACCCGAAAAACAAACCCGGGTCCAAACCAGAAAATAAAAAAAAGGGCCCAAAACAAAAAAAAAGGGCCAAAACGAAAAACAAAAAAAAAAATGGCCCAAAAATGGCGCCATGTCCGCCACGGACCGCCACGCCAAACCCGCCGTAACGGCCGCCATCTCCAAAATGGCGGAACCCCGCCATTTTCACCCTAAACCGCCATAAAGGATTGCGGCCGCCGCCGCTACGCCGTTATGGCCCCGTTATGGCGCCGCCATAACCGTTTTTTGATAACACTGTGTCAGCTACTAGTGTTGGCTGGTTAAAGTTGCTAATACGACTTCTGAATTTTGTAGTGGCTTCTTGATATTACATCTTAATGTATTAAGAAGGATAAATTGAAGTCTGGTACCAAATGTTCTGCTCTTATAAAGGACTGTTTAATGTTTATTATTACTTGCATTTTAGAGAAATTTTTGAACTGGATTGGATGGGTTAATAAATTTTGAACCGTGGAAGAAATTTCCTCTCTAATTTGACTGGTAATACTAAATAGGGGATACAATACAATTACAAATATGAAAAAACATAGAGTTCCATAGGTGCTTGTTTTGATGAAAACATTACGTGTATTAGTTATCTCATCCTCCTTTTTAAGCTTCACAGCTGAGATACAAAAGTAATTCGCATTTTTTTTATTTATTTATTAGAAAGCATTACAGGAACCTGACAAACTTCATCTAAGTTTTGTCTTTAAAATTAGTGGGATTTTGCATAGCTGATATGACAATTCTTTAGGCTTTGCATTTAATTTTTTTGTGAAAGATATTTTAACTTTTAACCTTAAATAAACCACGAATAAAAGGTTAAACCTTCTAACTGGGTCTAGCGATTAGAAAGAAACAAGTATGGTGGTTTACTGATCTTTGCAACCAAACCAAGCCTTGCTGGAATGATGCAGTCTAAAGATTAGAAAGAAATGGCTGTGCTGTTTCAGCTGGTTTAAACAGCATGACAATTCAAAATCATGCCCATCAGCATCATTCTGAAACTTGGATCCATGCGTACATTAAACATATTTCTATCAATTGGGCATGAGTTAGCCATGTGCTTTTGTCAAGGAAGTTCTTCAGCACTTTTTCCACTTTAACGAGTCTTGTAATTTCTGTTCGATTCCCTAAAATTTACATAAGAATACAATCATAACAATTAGAAACCTTAAGAATTACATCAGAAAAACATGTAAGTAAAAAAGATGCAGCTTATCCTGTTTTTAACATCCATACTTGTATCAGTTTTCTAACTGATAGAAGTTTATTAATCTCATTGTTAACTGGATAGCATGCCACATCCAGAGGGTGGAACATGAGATAAAGATCCAAAATAAACCAACTGTGCAGTTCTTGTTAGTTTCAGCTATCTACTTCGCTTTGCAATTTCATTCTAATGGTTTCCTTTCTTGAACTGCATATCGAAAGAAACTATACATGATCTTGTGATTTTTGTCAATAATCCAGTCAAAAGATATGCACTAAATAATAAACTATTGGTGCAGAAATGTCAGTTTATTACAATTGAATTTCACTAAATATGAAATATTGTATTCTTACACTGATACCTTTGGAAATAATGTAGGTGGCAGAACTTATAGAAAATGATCTTGTTTTGATTGGTAGCACTGCCATAGAAGATAAGCTTCAAGAGGGAGTACCAGCCTGCATAGAGACTCTTCAAAGAGCCGGCATTAAAATTTGGGTGCTTACAGGGGACAAGGTTGAAACAGCAGTTAATATTGCCTATGGTGAGTCTACTTTGAGAGGAGCCAGTTTTTCTGCATGTTGATAACTTCATGCCTGAAAAAATTTAGTCATTGCTCATTTTATATTTCTGTTTCCTACCCTCTTCCTGCAGCATGCAATTTAATAAACAATGAGATGAAGCAATTTATTATCAGTTCAGAAACTGACGTGATTAGAGAAGTTGAAGACAGGGTAAGCTCAATTTTTAGTTTCTATGTTTTGCTAATGTAATTTTCCTTATATTTCTGAGTGTTATAATTCTTTGGTCATGTAATTTGTTCAGGGGGACCAAGTAGAAATTGCACGATTTATTAAAGAAGAAGTGAAGAAAGAACTGAAGAAATGCCTCGAAGAAGCACAGAGCTATTTTATCTCTCTATCTGGACCAAAATTAGCACTTGTAATTGATGGAAAATGTCTCATGTATGCATTGGATCCTAGTTTGAGAGTCATGCTACTGAATTTGAGCATGAACTGCCATGCTGTTGTTTGCTGCCGAGTCTCTCCTTTACAGAAAGCACAGGTAAAACCAAGGCACAAAGGAAATAACATTATTTCTGCCAACCTTTTTATTCTTGTTGATACTGTAAGAGGTTGTATGCTAAAAAAGCTAATTTTGAATCAATTTTTGGCCTATTTAGGAGTGCTTGAGTTTCTTGCCTGGTGAATGATGTTGGGGTTGTTTGGCTTATAACTATGCTTGCAGGTCACAAGTTTGGTTAAAAAGGGGGCACAGAAAATAACACTTAGCATTGGTGATGGAGCCAATGATGTTAGCATGATTCAAGCTGCTCATGTTGGTATTGGCATAAGTGGGTTGGAAGGGATGCAAGCTGTGATGGCTAGTGATTTTGCCATTGCACAGTTTCGTTATCTTGCGGATCTACTTCTGGTTCATGGTCGGTGGTCATATCTTCGAATATGCAAGGTGTCATGTTTTTGCAAACTATACAATTGTTTCTGTAGTTTTTTGTTTTTGGAGGTATCCTTAAAAATTGGTTATTACAGGTTGTGACATACTTCTTTTACAAGAACCTCACATTCACTCTTACTCAGTTTTGGTTTACCTTTCAAACTGGGTTTTCTGGCCAAAGATTCTATGATGATTGGTTTCAGTCATTATATAATGTTATCTTCACTGCACTTCCTGTCATCATCGTTGGACTATTTGATAAGGTATCACATTCTCTCCAATCATATGGGATTGCATTTGTTTTTTTAGGGGTGGTGGGTGGAGTTTTGTTTTTTTTGTTTTTTTTTCTACAGAGCCCTTACCATTTGCTTGCACTGATTTTCTTTTTGGTACACTAGTTACGATAGTTGTTGACTTGTATTTTAGATGATTATGTTTTTTTGATTATTTCTTTGTATCTTTGCAAGGATGTCAGTGCATATCTATCCAAGAAGTATCCTGAATTATACAGGGAGGGAATAAGAAATGTCTTTTTCAAATGGAGAGTTGTGGCTATATGGGCCTTTTTTTCGGTCTACCAGTCACTTATATTCTTCTATTTTGTGAGTTCTTCAAGTTTAAGTGCTAAAAATTCAGCAGGAAAGATATTTGGCCTCTGTGATGTCAGTACAAT